CACATGTTCTCACTTATTGGTGGGAGCTAAAAATAAATTCACACACACACACACACACACACACACACACACACACACACACACACAAATACAGGGCGGGGAGAAGAAGACGTAACAACTACAGTTCCTTGAAGTTGCTACGGCAAGCAAACAGAAAGGACATTGTCGGGTGGGAAGGAGGAGAGGGAAGAGGGAGGGAGGTTTCAGTAATGGGCCATAATAATCAACCACATTGTATATCGACAAAATAAAATTTAAAAAAAAATAAAAGTATATATATATACTTTTATTAAAGTATATATATATAAAATAAAGCGGTAAATGTAAGTGTTTCCCTAAGTTCTGTGAGGCTCTCAGCAAATCAATTGAACCTAAGGAGGGGGTTGTGGGGACACCGATTTATAGCTAGTCAGTCAGAAGTTCCAGAGGCTTGGACTTGCTACTGGACTCTGAAATGGGGGCAGTCTTGGGGACTAAACCCTCACCCCGTGGGATCTGACGCTATCTCCAGCTAGACAGTGTCAGGATTGATCTGAATTGGAGGACACCCAGCTGGTGTCCACTGCAGAACCAGTTGCTTCTTAGGGTATGGGAAAAAAAAAACCCACACATCTGGGGTCAAAAGCATGTTGTAAGAGTGGGGTGGGAGAAACCAAGTGTGTTTTTTTGCCCACCTCCCCACAAGAGTCTTGTAAATCCCGTGTGTCCTCTCCTGCCTAAGCCCTCAAACCCTCCTGCCTTCTCGTTCCACCCCATCACGACATGCCCCGACCCCGCTGCCTTGGCCTCCTCTCTGCCCATGCAAATGGCAAAAGCATAAAGATGCTTAAAGAAAATGCAGGTAGAAACATCAAGAGTAGTAAAGCCCTTCTCAACAGACTAAGCTGTAAAACATAAAATAAATACAGGGACAGGTTGGACTTTGTAAGAATTTGCAACGTCTGTACAAAAACAAAGCACCAAAAGACTGAAGAGATAAACTGAAGAAAAATGTTTCCAAAATAGACAATGGGGAATATTCTTCATATATACAGCTCTTAAAAATCAATTTTAATGGGCCAGCCCGGTGGCGCACTCAGTAGAGTGCGGCGCTTGAGCGCGCGGCGGCGCTCCCATCGAGGGTTCGGATCCCATATAGAGACCGGTCCGCTCACTGGTTGAGCGTGGTGCAGGCGCGACACCAAGGGTTGCGATCCCATTGCCGGTCATGGTATGGGCGCGACACCATGGGTTGCGATCCCGTTACCGGTCACGAAAAAAGACAAAAAGGAAAAAAAAATCAATTTTAAGAAGATGCAAAACATACCGAAAAAATAGTCAATGGACACAAAGTACCTCAAAAAATAAACACAAATAACCAATGAACACAGATGTCTGCCTCAATAAGAATAAAAATGGAAACCACAGGAGCCTGTTTTAGTGCATCAGAACACTCCAGGCGGCCCCGGCAGTGGGCAGTGGGGAAAGGCGGGTGGTCAGCCTTGCAGGTACAAACCACCGCCCACCCGGGAACCAGGCCCCTCATGCTAGCTACCTCAGGACAGCTAGCTACCTCTAGCTGGGAAAAGCTGCATACAAGAGGTGATGACAGCAAAACCTAAGAAACACCCCCAAACAGCTCAGCACAAGCAACGGCAGCATCTCCGTGAACCCACATCCACATTTGGAAGGTCTCAATGCCTGGAAGAGCTGGGGAGCTGACCACGGCCTCGCTCACCACAGCAAGGGCACCCAGCCCACTTACCTCCTTGGGCTGCTGCCTCCTGAACACCCATTTCCAGCTGTCCACACGAAGGGCCTCCTTCACTAAGTGCCCCTGGACCCAGCTCAGGAGCCCCGCAGAACTGGGCAGTTCCCGTTCATTCCCACCCACTCGCCCGCGATTCTACACAGAGTCCTGCTCGCAACTGTGAGTTCTCACCAAGGGTTGCTGCCCGCCTGCTTCTCCAACAGCAACCTCTTCTCGTCTTCGGAAAACTGTAAGTCCAGTTCAAAAGAATTAGTGTCCAGGTCATGGATGTACTGTTCTATGTTGCTGCCTGACCTCTGCGGCGGGCCGGTGTCCGAGGCAGAGAGGGAGTGGGAGGAGGAGGAGGCCGACACCTGCATGCAGCCAAACTGGCTCAGGAGGTTGTCGTACTGCAGAAAGGAAAAACGACAAGAGCGCCTTAATTTGCCTCTATGGCCCAAAGGCCACACGCCGCCTGCCACTGCTGAGCTCTCACCACACAGGGCCTGCAGGCTTCCTGCTGCCCCTGGCCAGTGTGGGCAGCTCTGACTCCCCTCCACTGGATGTCTGGCCACTGAACCAAGGCAGGGTTGGCTCCTGCCTGGTCTGGGTCCCTCTTCTGATAGGAACAGGAGCCAGAGAGAGGCTAACCTCAGTCTTCATCTCCAGGGAAGGGCCCAGGACCCTCACCACAGGGTGGCACCAACAGTGCAGCAGCAGCCTGGGGCCTGCTGGCTCTGTGAAGCCCCTGTGCTGCCCTGCCTGGAGGTGGAGATCGGGGAGAGAAGGGACCAAGATGCACCAAGTGCAGAGGCACGGGGCAGACAGGCAGGACATTGGCACTCAGGCACCCTCCTCTTTGGCCCCAGGGTCTTACAATTTCTGAGTCTATGGTGGGCACTGGATATTTGACTAACCACATTCAATTTTTTAAAAAATACTACTTTAAATCTCAGCAAAGATTAACTAAACTTGATGTAGACAAAGTTGCCTGTGCACTAACACTCTGCTAGGGCCGCTGACAGGGCCAAAGAGCCCCCACCACAGACCTGGGAAGGTGTGGCCCCCTGGACAGTGACCTCCCAGGCTGCAGACCCCACACCTGAGCCCTGCTGAGGCCAATGCAGAGGAAGAAGAAAAGACGCCACCAACAAGGGCTGAGACAAGTACACAGCAAGTCCTGCCACATCCTCCGTGCCCCAGAAAGAGGGCCCCAGGTGGTACCCCTGCACCCTGTGTGTACCCACCACCACACTGCTGCCCCAAGCATTCATGCCCGCATAGCCATATGGCATGCCCTGACCCTGGTGCATTCTCTACTGCCTCTGTGAACACGCCCCGGCACGAGGTACCTCTGCGTAGCATCTCAAAATTTAGAGAGGCTACCAAGGGCCCCCCACCTACGGGTCACACAAGCCATCAGAGCCAGCGAGGAGGCTGGTAGCATGATACAGGGAAACCAAGGCTCAGAAACTGGCCCAAGGGCACACCCTGCTGGCCAACAGGGACCTCCAAGCCAGCTGCTGTGTCTTTCCAATGCACCGCTGCCTCTCCTGTCGCAGGGGTGCCCACTCACCACCACAACCATTGCACACTCGGACCCTCCTCCCTCTCAGGGGCCCCACGTTTTTTCCCCCATGGAAAGCTCCAGATTCTCTAGCCTACTCTCCACTCTCCTCTCCTAAGTGGCACTCAGTACAGACCCAGGCCTAGGAAGATGTGTGGACGATGGGGACACCCGGCTGGAGTGAAAAGCTTGCCAGTGGGCAGGTAAGACACGCCCAACTCCGCTGGCCCAACACTGACCCTCACTCCAAGGAACACCACAGGCTAACCTGCCACCCCCCAGTCCTGGGTGCAATTTCTGCAGGATTGGCAGGCCCAGAAGGCATGGCACTGAGGCTCCCATCAGTCCCTGCTAGCCACAACCCGAGAACCACATCATCTAGGAGCATCTGGGGCAGCATGCAGAGAGGGCAAGACTACAGGTTCCTGGGATGAGCCCTCTGCGGCCTGCATGTGGGTGGCAAGTGGGCAGAGGTCAGCACAGGCTGCTCTCCCAGCCTGGCCCCCTTCAAGTTTGGGCACAAAGGGCATTTCGGGATAAGAAAGGGGGGAGGGGGTGTGCATTGTACTGCAGGTAGGAGACATAGGGAGCCCTTGACCTCTGAGGGTTGATACCAGTAGTAATTTCAACTTAGTTTTGGACGACTTTTAGATAAAATCTAGAGTTCCTCAGTCAACTAAATTGGAACTCTGTACACGGTGACTCATAAGACTCAGCCACAATGACAGGAGTCAACCAGAAAAGTGGAAAATCAATGATAAAAGCTTTTTAAAGCATATTTAAATATGGAGGGGGTGGGCCACAGTGGAGGATGTATCAAGAGCTCAGACAAAATGAGACTGAAGATGGGAGGAGGGCAACAGGTCACTGTGGCTCACTGCACCCTTCCGTACCTTTTGTATGTGTCACAACCTCCATAATATGGAGTTTAAAGGACAAAGTATACAGACCCTGTATCTGCAGTCAAGCCCCAGGTATCAAGCAGCCTCAAAGCCCATGATGGCAGCTTCCCACAGACCCAGGGGGCCACACCCTCCGGACTGTGCGGCCCTGCTCCCACCAACCACCAGGGCAGACAGGGACCAGTGTCCACCCTCCAACATCATGTCATCCCCAAAGGTCCAAAGCAGCAGCACCAGGCTTCTCTTGGAAGGACAAGCAGCATTCTAGAACATCTTAAGACACAAGGATGAAAAAACCAAGAGAAAGGCAAATAGTGATAGCCAGCCAGGAGGCTGCATCCGGGAGCCCAAGGAGGAGTGCAGGACGAGCACAGGCTGCAGCTCCCACTTGCCCAGACCCTCACCAGAATCTGGCTCCAATTCCACCCCTCTGGATGAAAATTCACCAGAATATTCACAGCTGAGGGAATGAGAAAAAGGAACCAGCCCACCAGGGCTTCACTGGCCACTCTCTCATGGCAGCAAAGCATTCAACCATTAACAGGCCTAGGACACGAGCTCAGAGTCTTCCCTGAGGCTGCTGATTACAGCCGTGGTGCCGGGCACTTACGTTGCCATAGCAGTCCTCGTCATCTTCTGACATAGCCGGTAAGTAGGCAGTGAGCTTCGGAGGTGTCTGCTGATGCAGATTCTCCCACGTGATGGACTCAAAGAAAGGATGGGCTTTGAGAGGGCCATACCCTTCCATTTCTTCACAGCCTAACCGCTTCGTGGCATCTAACACCTTAAATAGGAGTCAAGACAAGTCACTGTCAGGGTTACAACATAATTTTGACAAAAAATAAAACAAAAAAACCTCTTTGAGTAATTCTTTTCATCTCTCAGTATCTCCTAGGAAGAGCAGGGGCACCATGGCCTGTCCGCCCACTCCCACAGAGCTCCAGGGACAACTGAGGCACACTCTGGGGTTCCTGTTACCTCTCTCCAAGCTCTGCCTTTTTACCTCTCAGAGGTGAAAACCAATCTCAACCTCAATATATAATGACTAACAGCAAATATTCATTTAAATACAGTTAAAAATCCTAAAACAAGAGGAAGATGAACTTACTGACTTTGATAACAAAGAGAAGGAATAATTAGTCTGGACAGCAAGCCTTTCCAGATGTGCAGTGGAGCATCCCTGTGGCTCTGCTCCCAGGGACTGAGCTGCACCCCCCACACCCTCACTACATCACTAAGGGGAGAGCCACAGGAAAGAGACAGGTAGGACAGGTGGAGAGAGAGTGGTTATGGTATTCTCCCAGCTCAATAGCAAGTGGCACGGGGGCCTGACCCTATAGCCTGTATGCTAAGGCAGTACTGACCCTTCTTCCAAAGAATCAAGGTAAGGAGGGAAGCCCTGAGTCAAGAGCACAAAGGGCCCAGGACACTCAGTTTCTAGAATGTATGCTAATATGCCTTTCCCAGGTAAACTGCTTTGCTGTATTACCAGGGTTAACCTTTAAAATCTTCGTGTACCTTCTCTAAAGTTGACATCTACAAATGTCACTGAAGTAGGATGTACAGCCATCTGCCACTGTAAAAAGCCAGTCACTCCAGCTTCAGTAACTCCAAATGCTATGCAATGTTGATAAGCAAACACAAAATGATATGGTAATTTCCTTTCTCATTTTTAGTTTATTATTCCTGATACAGTAGTTTCCTATCAAAAATCAGGCACGGGGGGGGGGGGGGTTAGCT